CCAAAACTCACACACACGGGTGTATTATTTCCATTCTTTACACCGTTTACTGTAACTGACTCAAATCTTAACAATAAATTACCACAACAACAAACAAATCTGCCATTCCATGTCACAACCGGGAACCCAATTAAGATAGCATTTCAACAACAAACGTTAGTACTTCAAGCAAATACAAAACCAGAACTTGAAAACATTGACCTTTTAAACCTAAATGATGAGGAATTACGAATATTAGAGGAAAACTTTGTCCCTGTACCATGGGAAAACATTGTTAATTACATATCTTGGTCCGTTGGGGGTACATTTGGAATACTACTAATCCCCTTCCTCTTCTGTATTTGCAAATATAATAAAAAATTTAAAAACGTTAACACTCCTCATAACAGACGAAAAAGCGTACACTTAAAATTAAATCCCTTAATTTTTGTTTTATTTTAGATTCTGCTACAAGATGCAACTACAGCTACAAACCAAAAGTTTTTTTTCATGAATGTATTAACATTCTATTGTAAATATATTTTTTTTCAACAAATATGTAGTTATATTTTATGTTCGGTATTAAAGTAAATCAAAATTTATTCAATCTCTAAGTTTCGTCTTGTTAATCCTAACCAACGTGGAATTGAAAATTCTCATTAACCAAATACACAGTCAGAAAACTATAATCGGGAGAAAAATCAGAATTTAAAAATTGCTTACATTTACTTAAATATCATTTGCATTTTTGTCAAAAAGCATAGAAAAATATTTGGACAAACAGTCTTAACTAAAACAAACACCGTAAAAAGGATTAGTATACCTTATCTTCTCACTCAAAATTTAAAACCTTTCGTTTGACACCAGTAAGACCTTACACCTTAATTCAAATTTAATTTACACTGACACCCTATACCCCGGATCCAACTAACTTCACAATTTCTCTTAAAAGTCAAGGATCAATCAGAATTGAAAAGATTCCCAGCTAAAAATATCAATTTTTGTCATAAGTCCAGATCCAGAAAAATTTTACCAATTTTAATAACTTAGACCAACTAAACTTACATGAATTCACACCTTTTATGAGAATTTAGGAATATACCGAACCAAAACCATTTCGAAACTTTCATGTTTTACATCTTAGGCCGCAAGGGTTTTCACATAAGCAAAAAGTATAATTGGCAAACTTCAAAATGTGAACTAAAAGTCTAAATTAAACTAAATCCTAAACTCGACTTCAATACTAACAAACAACATAAACCTAAATTCTCATAACGTATTCTATATTAAAAATAAAAGGTATATTTCAATTCGTACATAAAAGCGTGAAGTCCATTGCGAACCTAGAAATTACCTTCAATTAATCCAGATTCAAATTAAGTTCAAATTATAACACTACAATTGGCCAATATCCTTCTCCGGATTTTAATTATACATAGGAAGTTCTCATTCCTCTGAAAATAACATAAACATGTTCAAAAATAACTTTCAGATTGCAATCACATTTATTTTCTAAATTTACAAAAACCGCTCAACAGTCAAGCTTTTGCAATTGGTCCCAGTTAAACAACAAAAAAAAACCGAATTGTTCCACATTTTCTTTATATATTGAATAATCAAAAAGCAAGCTCTCCTTGCTTAAATTGCCAAGCATAACTAACTTACGCATAAACTTATTTCTAGAATGATAATTCCGAATAATCAAAAAAAGAGAGATTTTCTCAAAACTAAAATAATAAAAATAGAGAAGTTTGGCAAAAGAAATAATTATAACTTAAATATGTTTGTCTCGTGATATAATAATATCACTACGTAGTTATCTCATTTATACATATATTTCACACTTTACATATGTTCAACCATATATATTCAAAATAAACGTCCATTCCAAAAAACTTCAAAAATCAAAATAATAAAATTCACACACTGGCCTCACCCATTGTCAAAAGCAAAAATTACTTTACACCAAATAAAACCCAATTTAAAATCTTCGAATACAACAACGCTAGTATAAATGAGATAACATCCCTTGGTATATTTTTTAACATTCGAAGCACTCCTCTTTGGACGACGGGCAGGCGGAGTATGCTGAACTGTACCGACCCTCGCAGGCGGAGTATGCTGAACTGTACCGACCCTCGCAGGCGGAGTATGCTGAACTTTACCGCCCTTTACAGGCGGAGTGTGCTTAACTGCACCGCCTCTCGCAGGCGGATTGGGCTGATCTATACCCCCCTTCCCAGGCGAAATCTGCTGAACAGTACCGCCCTTCGCAGGCGGAGTACGCTGAACTGCGCCGCCTCCCATGAAGGCTAGCCCTGAACGGTCATCCTTCCCAGCACCCACCTGTCGTAAAAAAAAAAGCCTAATAACAATATATTTTACAAAACCAAAAACATCCAAAAGGATTTTTTTTCCATAAGCAATTTTTACGAATTCCAAAAAAATAAAGTTATGTTGCGTAACATTTGATATTTTACCTGAAATGCGGGACAAGATTCCCCATTCATGGAACTGGACGGGTGTGGGAAAGGCGTCTTCCTATAATTCCGCTTGGGAGTACAATCATCATACTCGTTCAACACAACAGGTTTCTCAACATGGTCACCTTGATCTCCACTAACTGCCACAACGTGCTCCGGAACAAACACAGTTTTGTTTATCTCCACCACGTTCTCATACACTACGTCACCTCCATTCTCCGATTCTGGATAAACATGCTCTGCTCGCACCTCCCTCGTGTTAACATTTTCAGCTTGCACCTCCATCGAGATAACATTATCAGCTCGCACATCCCTCGGGTTAACATTCTCAGCTCGCACCTCCCTCATGTTAACATTCTCATCTCGCACCTCCCTCATGTTAACAGTCAACAATCCGGGCGGTCCACCCTGATCAACCTTACCAGCACACTGATCAGCTGGACCTGCTACAGGAAACTGAGAGCCGTCGTTAACATTCCCACCTACGGGCTGACCGGAAGTCTCACCCAGCTGACCTTCCTGAACCCCTCCAGCGGACACACTAAATTCAGGAACATCAGGATATAAACCAGAACGGACAACTCCTTGAGGGGGAACATAACCCCACGGTGGCAAGAACGGTGGCAAAAACCCGGCCGGTGGATAAGCCGGACCCATAAAAGGTGGACCAGGTTGCATAACAGAGGGTGCAGGGTTCACTTCACCCAGAGAAACAGGCGGAATCCTCTCCTCCTCAGTACCCAACTTCTGCGCATTGGAATGCAACGCCTTCACTTTCACTTTCTTTCGAGCACCACCCTGTGCCAGGACAGGTTCCACAACAACCTAAAATTATACAACTGTAATAAAGGTACGTAAACAAAACAAAGAAACTCTCATCCCATGATATACACTTAATAAAGTTTAACTTACAAAACTATTCAAAGTAAAACACAAATTACAGAAACAAATAAATCCTACTCTCAACATTTTTCTACATAATCAATTCTCACCTCATGAGAACTGCCACGGCATCTTTTACAGCTCAGGCAACAAAGTACTGCTCTCACAACACCCTGACAAATAAAAACGTATTATTTAACACAAAATAACAAATTTATACACAAAAAAAGAATTAAAGTAGTATTTACATTCCGCTCACTTTTCCCAGACATAATTTTAATACTATAACTTAGCAATTACAAACGACCAAAAGTACATCTAAATTGACTACGATATATGAATATGATACGTGATATTCGCGATCAAAATAATATTTCTTTTTTAGTAAATCCCAGTTTGGGAAAATGATTGTTCTACAAACATCTGAAATTTCGAGAATATCGCAACCATGATCACAATTTATGTTCCGACTAAACTATATTTATGTAAAACACACTATTCTTATTTTAGTCCCACCATGCTTGTATCTACAAAAATCATAACACAATTTCAAACACATATTCCTTCGTCTCAACACTTACAACTCACTCCATCTTTAAACATAATATTAGAATATATAAACTTTATTAAAATAAAGATTTATACAAAAAGTATCAATCCCGACAATAATGATCCACCATGTAGCGAGTGATCTGGCTCTGTAGTCCTTCAAAATCTTGTTTCAGCCGGACCAACCTCATCAAACCCGTCAAAATACGACGCTCAATGTTAAGCGCATCGATATCGCCATATCCCACGTTCGAATTCATCGACTGCACATGCTGCAAATTATGACGATACATCGACCTCAGGAACTCAATAGTGTTCAGCTCATCAGCCAACATCGGAAGGATTCCAGGACTAGTATCCTGATCAGGAACCTTAAAGAAATCATTTACCCAATCCCTCAATCCCAAAAACCGCTGCCTCAGCTTATGGATGTCACCTTCTCGAACGAGCCTGGGGAAAGATGAAACAGAAACGATTCTTATATTACGGCCCTGCCTTAACCGAGCAGCACGGCCAAAATCCACACCTGGTCCCGCTCCGCCAATTGCGTCAGGTCGAATCGGGCTCTCTTTCTCTTGGCCTTTCGCTTCCTTTTCCCCTTCCTCCTCTTCCTCGTCATCTCCATCTCCGTCATCATCCCCATCTTCTTGATCATCACCGTCTTCCTCTCCTTCCCCATCTTCTACAACATGTCCCTCTGCTAGCTCAGCATTATTATCCTCCTCACAAGCATCGTCATCAGAGTCATCACTACTTGATGAAACAATATCAGAAGGGCTATCCATGCAATCACACAACACCCTTCCACAAGGACAACAATCTTCATCCATTTCTTCAGATTCAAGGAAAGCACCCGAGGCACTCTCTACGGCAAGCCTCTTCCTCTCGCTCTCCTCAAGCTTCTTCCTCTCCTCAGCAAGTTTCTTCCTCTCGCTCTCCTCAAGTTTCTCCCTCTCCTCAGCAAGTTTCTTCTTCTCGCTCTCCTCAAGTTTCTTTCTTTCTCTCTCCTCAGCAAACTTCTGCCTCAGCCGCAGAATAAATTCACACTCAGAACCGTCATCAGAAGAATCATCATCAGAAGTACTCATCCCACAATGGCAGGAAGTTTCAGCAAACCTACAGCTTCCGCAAACAAATTGGGAGGTCATCCTTTCCTCCTTAGCCTCAACACAACTGCTCCCCTCTCGTGTATCATGCGGTTCCTCATGAAACTCGTCACTCACGTCACTCACAGGTGCATACACCGTAACCAAACCAGGACTATCTATCTCGTCTATAGCACTAGCAAGTTTGTCCATTCTTTCAGCCGTACCGTCGAATACTAACATTCAATACACCAAAACGCTCACAAATTACACGCATTCCAGGGCATATCAAAACCCAACGGAGGATTAAAATTATCAGATTAAAATCTAAAATATTTACTGATCATAACCAATACTACTCAAACCAACTTTATAAACAAAATATAAAAAAATAATACTCACTTGACAAGCCGGAAGAAACCGATTATCCTTCATAATATCCAGCAACAAAGAACACAAATACTGGAAACTGACAGTCCAGCCCTTCCTAATATAAAAATAATAATAATAAATAATCACTATCTAAGATACAACATAAAACAATGAATGAAAAATTATGTCACAAACAGTTCCAACCAACAACAATTAAATATATCCAAAACTCAAAAGCAACTCAAAAATGAAACGTAAACTAATCCAAGTTAACGACGTAAATTAGACTATAACATAAAACATATCTAAAAACAATATAAATCACGACGACGACAAAACAAACATACACAATAACACTCGACCCTATTTCTTTTTCCCCCCCACAAATAGCGACCATCACATTACCAATACATTCCACCCAGCCATCGCCCCTGCCTCCCGACTCAATGTATCACATTACAAAAATATTTCAAAAGATTAAAACAAAACAGACAGACATTTCGCCTAGCCAGACAACAAACAAAATAACTAAAAAAAAATTTTCAAAAAACCGTCCTTCATTAATTACTAAGCGAATATTAACATAAGACAATAATCTAACAAAAACTAGAATACAATTACATCCAAAGAATAGCGAAAATAAGACAAAAGACAACTTCACAAAATTAAATCACAAATACTAACGCATTAAATCCACACGTTATATATAAATACTAACCTCGCCATTGCCTCCCAGGTCAGGAACACCACAAAACAGCAGATAAATCCCATCATAACGCCCAACAACAACAAGAACAGTCCAGGACCTCCATCCGTCACCACACAAGGATCGTACCCGCCGTCCTTTCCGTCACAAGGACATGAATTGTCCAAGGGAATAACGGCCGTCTAAATAAAACATATTTTTTGGAAACTTAATCGCCATCATAAGTCATTAACACAACTATAAATCAAGACAGAACAATGATAATATCGTGGCAATCATTGATCAATCAAACTAAAACATCAGGCAAATAACATCCCAACCAAATAGTTTCCAATAATCAAAAGGAAAGCTTGGAACGATTAATTCAAGAAAAACAGTGGCATCTCATAATTAATCAACTGCTCCCCCTCTCCTAAGCAAATACACACAAACACCTTTATGCCAAATGAAAACATGCCTTACAAACAAAAATAACATCATTACAATAAAAATAATTGTAACCATAACTTCATGCAGGCAGTACAAAATTCACCAAGTTATACTGTACTAAGGAAGAACCTGAAACCAAATACAAGGCCTTAGCCATACAGTGCCATCAACAGAATTTCAGTGCATAATAAAATATTTCACCTTAAACAATAAATGGGTACCATTGTACCCCTGGAACTGCTCCTTGAAAAGAGTGGTAAACTCTACGAGGGGCACTAGCGGACTCAATACGGGCATTTTCTTCTATCTGCTACAACATATTTACTCAAAATTTTAAAATATAAAGCATCAAACAAAATCTTTAAATCAAAAGCAAATAAATAACAGGGAACAACGATATTAAACTTGGCATTGTAAATTCACCTCTGCAAATAAATAATAATTCACTACTTTCACAAAATCGCCTTGATCTATAATAAAATATTAAACGCACACTAAAACAAAAATCTCAAAAAAAATATACACAATAAAACTGAATTGCATCCACGAGGAATTGAACGCGTGTAGAAATTTCTAGATTAAATGGCAGCCAGTCGAGCGCTCACTAAAACCGCCCATCATGCACCAGTGGAGGAATCTTCTTCAAAATATAACCTCAGAAAATCCATCGGCACCGACTGGACGATCAACTAAATAATAATACAGTAAATCATAACCAACACAATTAACACATAACCTAGGCAATATTTTAACAAAATAGAAAAGTTTGCACACCAAATATGGATAAAAATAACAGAAATCTCACGTCGAAATAGGATCATTCCCCCCACTGCTCCGCGGCTTTCACAAACTCCCCCCAATTGGAAAGCGCTCACAAATTAAACTAAACGACTACAACTCCATCTAACGGGAGCTTCAGGCATTATTACTCGGTGTAAGATTTCATATTAAAAGGCTTCCTAACCACAAGTCCATTTAAAAATTAATCAATGGAAACGCCGG